TAGAGTTCTAAAATGCTAATCGATTTACATTCATTCCATTTAAGTCACATATAGTATTTATATACGTATTATAAACCTAATATCATTGATTATTCTCAGTACTTACATAATAAATTACAGATTAATATCTCAAAAATCTATTACTGATTTGAATCGCTACTTGTTTATGTATACATGATCGTAGTCCACTTTTTAAACTTCAAATAAAATGAGAAGAATTAAAAATAGGTAAGTATATTCAGAAATTCAAAAAATCAGAATCGCGTAAATTAACTGAACAGAAAAAATGGGGGTGAACAAGTATGGTGATCTAACCTGTATTGCTGTACTATACTGGTATATTAATATCACTTGAATATAATATGTGCTATTAAATTTTGATTAGAGTCTGAGAGGTTGAAATGCGCATGCGCAGGTACCCATATAGAATATTATTACGCAGACGAAAGGCGTCTTATTACTGAATTTAAAACATGTGTAAGTTACCTTTCATCAAATATTATCGTTGTTTATGAGTTTTGACTTAACGTTTGGGCTAGAAAAATGTGTAATATATATATATTATATTTAACATTTTTTTAGAATAAACATAATACACCAAAATGTCGAGTTTAGGTTTCCAAATTGTATATTCCAGGTAATATAACATTTATAAGCAATTCACAATGCGTTTTATCATTAATTGAACCGTCACAACAAGGGAAATAAAAAAACAAATAAGTTCGAACAATGGAATAATTATTATATCAATGCCTACGAATTATCTATTGTGTATTACAATCGTTCGCCATGTTTGACATTTCGTGAGATCAAAACCATTTAGTACTCAAAATCGGGGCTTGCAAACGTTATGATTATAAAGTTATATTTGACCAAAAACGATTGAAATTCGTAAACGTAATTATAACGGAAAACGATAATCAAAAACAAATAAATACCGCAAAACAGAACATGAAAATTAACAAAATATTATATTATATATCATTAAACAAAACATAACACAACACGAAAATTGAATATCATTGAACGAAAAATACACTTAATATTTTAAAATCTATTTATTTAAAATGTCTAAATTGGTTTCGTAGAAATATTTATTTCATGTAAACAATCTAAGAATTGATTATATTATATTCCGTATCCGGGCCATTGCCTACCCACATTAGTTATTATTTTTAAATTAAATATGTATTAACACTATATCAAATAAAGATAATCGCAAAACTTGTATACATTTTTAGTTCTAAACAACGATAATCGCAACACTTTTATAACGTTTTAATTCGAAATAACGATAAAGGCAAATATTGTGTAACGTTTTAATTGTAAATGATATAAAACCGATTTTTTTTTTCAAATGCTCAAAATATAAGATTGTTTAGGAGATAAATATTGAACTTCAATTTGTTATATTAGTATACACCAGGGCTTGAAACCGAAAAAAAATTTTCCGGTTTCGGTTTCGGTTTCGGATACCGGTTTTGATTTTTTCCGATTTCGGTTTCGGTTTCGGATACCGGTATAAATTTTTTCCGATTTCGGTTTCGGTTTCGGATACCGGTATAAATTTTTTCCGATTTCGGTTTCGGTTTCGGATACCGGTATCAATTTTTTCCGATTTCGGTTTCGGTTTCGGATACCGGTATTGACTTTTTTCGATTTCGGTTTCGGTTTCGGATACCGGTATCGATTTTTTCCGATTTCGGTTTCGGTTTCGGTTTCGGATACCGGTATTCATTTTTTTCGTTTCGATTTCGGTTTTTAACGGTTTTAACCGGTATTCAAAATCAGTATCGAATATCGGTTTTAATCCCTGTATTTATAATAATTTATAATGACATAAAATACTGGCGTAGGAACCTACTTGCCAATCGTCAAACATTGCGTGGCGTACGATTTAGCGTCTGGTTGCCTGACAAGTACTATAGTATTTGCAATCAATGATAATATTTACACTGGAATGAATACGTAATTATGACGTATTTAGTTATAGCCTCTCCACTTCATAACACATTTTCCAAATGATTTGTGACCTAATTTTTTTAGAGTTTGTGTAACTTCATCGTTTATAAGTTGAAACTATTTTCTCAATGAGGTGCTAACTTCATGTGTGTCCTACCCACCACATTAATCAAATTGATCACAGCTTGATTATATTATACCAATCTAGATTAGGTATATTAATCCAATAGAGTATGGTTGATGGTGGGTTGGTAGGGAGCACATTTTTCAGTCGACGGCTTTTAGGGAAACCCAGACAATATTATGTTAAGGCCTTATAATGTATTATAATAAATTATAAATAATATAAATTATTTATAACTATACTATAATTATTGACTCAGTACTTCATAATTTATTGTTGGCTATTGTGTTAATTTAATGTAGGAAAATTATGCCACATAGTTATTTCTGTCTTCTGATCGTCTGTGGCGGCAGAAAAACACGACAGCTTATAATAGTATTATTGTTATACAATTTTTATTATAGCGTATTTCTGCGTATACTGTTTTAGAATATGACTATATGATTAATCCATTTACCAAAATAATATATAATATATAAATATAATAATTATTATATTGCGTATAATAATAATATTATATTATGCGTCTAATAATTTATATATCCTGTGAAATTACCTATGCAAACATACGGGTGCCCGCAGACGAAGACTACTGCACCAGTGCAGCTAGACCTACTTACATAATAATATATTATTATATTATAAAATATTAATTATAATAATATAATATATTAGGCACCATTAATCATTATTAATATCAATTGTATTACTGCAGAACTCAGAAAGTATACATAATAATATAAATATCTATATAGGTAGGTACTTTCGAGTTAATATTTTAGAATCCAGTAAAAAACTAAGTAAAACTAAGTAAAAAAAAAGAAAGCATAGCACATGACCTAGGCTACAGGTCTAATAAATGGACCAAATTAATAATTTTTAATAATAGTATTATAAACGCGCCATGGAAACGGCAATATAAATATTATAAACTATTAAAATAAATAATAATATATAATATTTATATGATAATTTATAAAAACTAATAATATAACAACAAAAATACTATGTCAACTCCATGTAAAAAAAATTTAATTTAATTTAATTCTTCGTTTTGCGCACGGAGTAAACAATTACCCCAGACTTATTAATACAGTATATTAATAATTTAATATGATCATTTATAAAAGACTAATGAACTTTAACTTAGCATAGTTATTTTTTATTTAAGGATAACTTAACTTTAACTAGTTAAAAAAATTGGTTAACTTGCCCAGCTTTGCCATCATCCACATGATGTTATAATAAATAATTATATCTTATAAGTTATAATATTATATTTAATATTGATCGCATTGTATGATAGAAGGATAGAACAAATTTACATAATATACACGATATTAATTATTTTCTACCATATGCATTATAATTTATATTATTAATAGCTTTTAAACAGAAATTCAATTATAGCCTATAGGTTTATTTTAAATGCGTAGAACTTTTTAAATGTTAGATATTAATGTTATAATTTTTCGACTTCCGTTTCGGATATCATGTTATTTCTTAAGATTTCGTCTTAAGTTTCAAAAAACGGTATTATTTTTTCCGATTTCGATTTCGGTTTCAGATATCGGTATTTATGTTTTCCGATTTCGGTTTCGGTTTTGGATATCGGTATTTATGTTTTCCGATTTCGGTTTCGGTTTCGGATACCGGTATTTATTTTTTCCGATTTCGGTTTCGGTTTCGGAAACCGGTATTGATTTTTTCCGTTTTCGGTTTCGGTTTCAGATACCGGTATCGATTTTTTCCGATTTCGGTTTCGGTTTTGGATACCGGTATTATTTTTTTCCGATTTCGGTTTCGGTTTCGATTTCGGTTTCGGTTTTTAACGGTTTAAACCGGTATTCAAAACCGGTATCGAAAATCGGTTTCAAGCCCTGGTATACACGTTAGGACAATAAAATAATAACTGTCATATCTCATAAGTTACTACCTAAAAATAATAATTAAAAAAGTTGTATTACAATGATTCTTGTAATTTGGGTTTGATCTAAGTTAAATTAAACGTAAAAAAACGATAATGTAGAAACAATTAAATTATGAACCAAAACGTTTTACAGATGGGTTTGGTAGTGAACTCATTTTTTTCACGTAGTTTGAACTTGTTTGTTCTGAATTAAATGCATGTTTTCCGGGAAAAATTCCGTTTCACAAAAGAGAATGCTTTATAGAATTTTTCGTTTTGTTGATAATTGAGAAGGATCTAAAATTGTTATAACATAATAATATTATTATTGTATGGTTGATACAATGAATATGATGGTTACTATTTTATGGTCATCACTCATGAAGTCATGTATGACTAATTTATTTAATGTAAATGGATCTATAGTTAACAGCTCCTATTTAGACCACTATTAAATAACACATTCGTAAATTGTATTGATTTAGAAACATTTAGTTCATGGTAATATTTAAATAATACACCTAGGTAAATGGTTTTTTGTGAGTTTAAATATTATGATGTATATAGATAACTAAACCTATACGTATACAATTTTGATTTTTAAAATATTAAGTCTACATCTATCAGTTCTGATGAGTCCGTGATTTCGTTTGCTATAAAATATAATATAATGGTTTGTTGAGAAAAAAATCGTAGGTATATACACTATAATAATACGTATCTAAAATAATAATTGCGTTTTAATATTGTATTATACACACAAGTACACAACATAATCCTTTAATTATATACAAATATAAATGTATATAACAACGTTATTTTTTTTTCAACCGTATTGTTACTGATTTCAGATAATTAATCATATAATGAGTGGTATTTATCGCCGTTGTCGTGACCCGTAGCAGTCAAACATGAAATGCGACAGCGACCGCGTTTAACCACAACGCATACTTCCAAGTGCACATAAAACGCGATGATATTATTATTATGAAATCGGAAACTTACCTGTATATCGCAGTTTTCTCATATCTGTACCAAACCACCAGTATGACAGTGTCCAGGGGATCGTGGGGTATCGGTGGTGCAATGTCACACGGCAACAACGCAGTTCCGTGTACGACCGCGAAAATCTGACGCACGGCACCTGTGAACAAATTCCAATGACGATTATGAGAAACATGATGGAAATATTATGTTTTTCGAAACTAACCATAAACATGCTTTTATTTTAGGTTTTTTCGGGGGGGGGGAAGAGGGCTGATAATTATTTATTATTTACGGGAAGCTTAACTATATATAGAATCCCTCACAAGACGTTTGTTATGCGGATGACGTGGATGTATACAATTTTACATTTTTGAATAAACCTTCATAATACGAATTAAAATTTTAATACATAATGGCTAAGTTTTTAGCTACGTTTTTAGATAAGTTTTCCTGCAGTGGACAGCAGAACAGCATGGCCGCCGTCACTCTGCGACAAGAAGCGGACCATTTCCAGCTGCGTCTGAAAGCTGTAGACATAATTTACCTTCAGGCATTGGCCCAATTAGGGGGGGGGATGATAAAATACATAACTTCAATTATAATAAATAAATTAGGTAAACCGTGTAATCTATACAAAAGATCAGTCAATTAATAATTTTGTATTACCTTCCCAATCTATAAATAATACATTAAAATGATGAGACACATTTTTTAAAAATGATGTAAGCATTTAACTTAAAAAGCCAACAGGTAATGTACCTATCTATTTCAACGGTAGTTACAAGATAAAGTTATGATTGTGTAGACTAGACCATTCTTCCGGTATACAAGTATGCACCTAATACCCATAACAGGTACATACTTAAGGTTAGGTTTTTTGGGTTATTTTACTTGCAATAGTTTCAAGACATGGCGAGATGAGTTTTCATTTTATTCGTACCGATCCAATAATATACAATTGTGTATATTTAAAACGTTTCATAATCATGCTTGGCCCCCATGTGAAGAAGAAGTACTAAATCTCAATAAAAAAAATTTATTATTTCTTCGTCAGAATATTAAATTAAAATATAATAATTGGCTGTTTTTATTCACTTATTTATTTTTTCATTACATTGTTCTATACAAGGGACATTATAACGATTCCGATTATTACTATTGCCTACCTATATTATTACGGTAGTCATTATTTTTGTTTTAATTAATCTATTATGTTCACGTTTATTTTGTTTAAATTTTATGGAGATTAAGCAAAAAATATATGTAAATTCTCACACGATCCCCAAATCGAAATAAAATGACGGTTGTGTGTTCACTTAACATGGTCATTAATAACTATCTCAGGTAACAATTACTATTATTATGTAGGCATATTAATTAAGACGCACTCTCATGACATCACTAGATTTAAATGGAAATAATATATTGACATGGGTTTTTTTTTTTTTATTAATATTTGTCGAGTGAGTATCGTTATTTATGGTGTGATGATACATTTGAACACGGTGGCACTTAAAAAAAATGGTGATTTAAACACTTCCAACGTAATTTCTAGAGATTCTAGAAATATATAAATCATAGCAAAAAGAAGTAAACTGCCTGGGTAAGTAGAATTTATTGAAGTTGGTATATTTTATTTTTTAGTGCGTTGTAAATTCTCGAATTTATTTAAATTATATACTTTTCAAATCCAAGTTATAACTCGTATTTTATATTTAGTAACATTTATTATTTTCTAAAATGGGACATCGGTTGTGGTGCAGTGAAATCCAGATGCCATATTTTTACATATTTGGTAACCGTAAACGCTTTTAACAGACTGGATTTTGAGATCCGTAGGAGCATATTTTGTTTAATGAAATTTGAAGTGAAAATAATCGGTGAAAAGGTGGAAATATTATAATCTACGATAAACTTGAATTTTGAAGTATCTTGAAGGCAGACCGTTTAATAGGTAGATGAAACCTAATTCAAACGATTGTCGTGTATTTTTTAAATAGAAATATCTCACACTTTGCAGTATAGCCTGTTAACGGTTAAGCAACTATTAACTATTTATTATTAACTTCTAACCGTATCATAAATCAAATTTTAGTTTTTACTAGATAATCATTTTTATCTCGTTACCACTATTTGAGTAAAACAACTAACACAAAAGGGATTGGAGTTTTGGGTAAAACATGTTATTATTATTATAATCACCACCATAGTGTTTTGTTAAAATATCGGTTATTATAATACTGCGCTTAAGTAGAAAGGTAGGTGGTAGGTGCATAATAATAATAATAATTATTATTATTTTAGGTACATAATCGTTTATATGAATATTATGTATCAAAACTGCACAATAGTGCCACATTAGTTACCATTATTTACAGTTAAAATATTTCTATTCGATAAGGATCACTGGATAATTTTCAATACCTTATTAACAGAGTAAACAATATGTTGGTAAAAATAAATTATTACTTTAATTTCACCCTGTATTTTATTAACCATAACAACCATGTTTATATAGGATTAATTTTACACGAGACACCCACGGATAAATATATAATTAATATGAATTTATTATTGACGCTATAGTAGTCCACAGTTTTTTTTTAATTAACAGTTAATATTACAAGCGTACTTACATACAAAATACTAAAACATAGATCGATACGAAAAATATCGATAATAAAGACAATAATTACCACTCTAAAAACAACTCATAATACGTATATTACATCGAAATACGAAATTAATGAAATCTTGATCACCGATAATGCACAAATGAATTATTATGAATTATTGCATTGTATTGTTATAACTTCTAACTGTTTGACTGGAGACGTGATGATTTTATGACGAATAATAATATAGGTACTCTGTTATTATATTAAGTATGTATTATATATTTCATGAGCAATGCAATGTGGTAAAGATCATAATATAACATAGAATAGGCATAAACTAGGTATTAAAAATCGTATGTGACAGCATAATATTTACAGCAGTTTGTTATAGATTTTTAATGGAATACAATATGCGGCAGCATGGAATGTAGTAATACTATGATGAACTAAAATAAATTATTTTATAGTGGCCTACATATCTTATTTTATTGATTATTTCAATGCCTCATTCAATTTTGATTTTATTATTCATTTAATTGGAAATACCTATAGGTGTACTTCCACCGAATACTGGCTTAACATTTTGGTGATTTTGATGGATTTTAATAAACCGTGTAAACAAAATAGCCTAGTAACTACGCTATTGTACGAAAAACAATTACTAGTGCGTTATATTATACATAAAACAATACAGTCAGACTTTGTTTAACTTTATTTAGTGCTCCTATTATTCAGAGGTTCCTTGAAAAATAGTCACGATGACTGCGAGATTGACTTCTCAAAAATGGATGATTCCATTTTCATCCAAAGAATGTGATATTGTGGGACAGCACCCGTGTAATGTTTGCATCATACCATTTCCCGATACCATAATTATGAAGTCACCCCAGCCGACGAACCCTGTCGAGAAACAGTACACTTGCAAGCTATGTGATCAGATGTTCATTAGGAGGAGAATTGTAACGGACGACAGTAGAACACTAAAGGGCGAGAAACCTTACTCGTGCAACGTGTGCAACGAGTCATTCACCAATACCGTCCCACTAGTGGTACACCGGCTGGCACATAAATCATACCTATGCTACCGGTGCAACAAGTCATTGACCAATGCCACCCAACTTGCGGAACACATGAAAAAGCTGCACAAGGTTAAAAAACCGTACGCGTGTGACGTGTGCGATAAGTCATTCAGTCAGAGAAACTATCTGATGGGACACCAGCGAACGCACATGGATAAGATACCACGCTCATGCGATGTGTGCAAAAAAATGTGTATCAGTAAAAGCCAACTAATGACACACCGGCGAGTTCACACGGGTGACAAACCGTATACGTATGCAATAAATTGTTCAGTCAGAGAGGCCATCTGAAGTTACAAGTATAACGCACAAATCCAAAATCCCAACTCTAGGATCTTCGATCTATGAACAAAGTAAAAAAAAAAAATCATCTTAGGCCGGATTGAAATTTAGTACTTAGCGTTTTTCAAAGGTTCATTTTTTCCTGTAGTATTTTCTCACAAAAAAAAAATTATTATAATGTCTATTTATATTATGTCTAATACTATGTGTTCGTGTAAAATATTCTTCATTATAATAATTGTCTTAGTGTACACATGATACAGATTGCCAACTTTACTATTTCAATAAATAATTTGCAGTTTGATTTTTTTTTACTAAAATGCCGCCATTGTTATTAGTTTTTAATTAAAACTTTAAATTGAAACTGTTCACGTTGTGTATAGTGCACTTTAAAATATGACTAGTTAATGTTAGAAACGAGTTTTGAGACAATGTTGTTCAAAACCGTTTTCTAAATGATCATTTGACGCACGACATCAATGCAATGTTATTCTGAATTTTTGCATTCTGTAGATTTCATTATATTAAAGTCACATTTTAACCGTTTGATATTCCTTTGAGTTAAAAACAGACAATTTAATTATTTTTAATTTAAAAATGTGTGTATTTCTGGGAAGTAGTGGAGTAATAGAAGTACATGACATCACTTCTAAATTACATTATTACACAATAATAATGCATTTCCTTATAGAATAGATACCCTATAACAACATTATTGTGTTTATTTCTAAGTTTTTCTTCGCTTATCATAATACTGTCACTTCTATAATATGATATAAAAAAATATATATTTAAACACCTTCAGGATTTCGTGTAACTATAAATTGCACAATGTGTACACATAATATGTAGTAATATAGACAACAATTCACAGAATCTAAAATTAATAAAACACAACTACCAATCTCAAATACTTGAAAATATGTTTTAACATAAAATATATGTTTTTGGGACTGGGTATTATAGATACTTTTATTTTCTAACCGAGTTTGGGTAACGTTTTGTTTATCATCATAGAAACGAATGAAATGTAAATATTACCTAACTCCCACTAGGTATGTGACATGTGTACAATTAATGGTTAGGTACTTATTAATACATATTTATGATTCATACATTTTCTTCGAAGTTATTTTTGTTTTTAACACACTCCCATTTAATTATAATTATAGTTTGTAATAGTTGGTTATAATAAAATGTATACAATTAAGACTATTCAGTTTTTGATCCAACGTATACTTATGTAATATAATGAATAACAAATATTATTGCACTGTAAATAAAAAAAATTAAACATAATAAACATTTTGGAGAATACTATATTTTTACCATAAACATAAGATTTTAAAATGTATTCATTTTGTCTAAGTGATGTTAGGCACTTAGGCCTATTATAATCATGGTACCTATAAAAAATATAATTTTTAATTTATTATATAAAATTAATTTCTGAAATGTATATGCCTATACCAATTTTACTTTAAAACACATCAGTAAGAACAAATCAGCTTATGTTTATAAATTATTACAATCGATTCTTTAACGGCGCGTTGTATAGGCAATATAGCTACAGGAAACATTTCAATAGCTACATGCAACATTATAATATCATTGTTGGTATAATTTGTTTATTAATTTATACTTAAACTTATAAAATATTGTAAACATAACAAATGTATACGCGTGTAAAATAATTTTATATATGACATAAGATCATTGATAATACTGTTTTGGAAAAAAATAAGAAACTTCCTAATGGAATAATACTAATTTTCTATCTCGTACAATTTACAATGTTAGATATCAATACTTAATACATTAATATATTTATGTAATGGTTGTATATTATGTTTCATTTTAATTTTAGAGACCTTAAATACGCTTAGCAAAATATGCAAATAGTGAAAAAAATATACAACTAAGACACACGTGGCAAATCCGACTCACCAAAATTGATTATCCGGCCAGCGAATCTATTCCATGTTCTATTCCATGTGCCCATATTTTAACATATTATATAAATATTTTACATTTATTTTAAAATTAATATAATGAAAAAATTAAAAATTCTCCAGGAATATTTTTTTTGTGGACCATGGTGATAAAAGATTGTCCACATGCACTAACCACTGTTCTAAGATAATAATTTTATTTGAAATTAATATTTTTTCACTCTCAAAAATGATTTTATTTGTACATTTTTACAGACAACATTAATATTACTGTACCTATTAAATACAACGCATCTTTAAAATTTAATTTTAAAACGAATAACAACGGCTATCTATAAGTACTATATCCATATTTTATAAGTAAATTACTGAATATAAATATTTACTCATAAATTCTGAGTTATAATTAGGTTTTATTACTAGTACATGTTTGGTGAAATTTATTCTCGGAAAAGTCATTAATGCATTTTTTAATGTTACTTATTATTCGAAGAATGCTCGTTTCATGGCATTTGGATGATTGCAAATTTGTCGAGAATCGTTGTATTTTCGGAAAAAAATTTGGGGATTATTCCGAGTAAAGTAAATTGAAAATAACCAGAAAGAAACATTTTATGGGCAGTAATCTTATGCAGCAAAGTAAATTTGTTCTGATTTAATTTGTTTTGAATGATATTATCAACTAGGTACTACATTGACCTAAATTCCAATAATGCAATTTGAAACGTATTACATGTAAATTGAATATGCCATAGAAGAAAAAAAAAATCACTATGAAATAATAATTATTTCTTTTTGATCATGCCACTAGATTATAATATTATATACCATTCGGCTATGTGGATGTCGAGTAACAGCGGTGTACGTACTGTAAGGGCCCCTCCCCCACACTTTTGCTCTACATTTTTTAACCCTTGACCGCCACCGCCACAAGGTGTGTTAACATGCAATTTAAAAAAAAATACGATTTTCTCACAAATTCCACTACAAACCAAACCGACGCACCTCAATACATTTCGTATTATGCACATAAAAACAGAAATGTTGTGTTGATGATACTCAAGAAATTTTTAAGCTTATCGGCATAAAACAGCCTCAATAGACAGTACAAGTGTTACCAACGCACCAAAATGTATATAGTATATAATAATAATAATAATAATTAATAGTACCACTGAAGTGTTATAATATGTTCATACGGTCGTCGTTATCATATGTTGTCCCATCGTATTATTAATTCTTGATGTTATTTTTCGCTGAATTTACGTCATGGCCACGGAATTACACGTTTGATAATATTAATAATAATAAAATGCATTCAAATGTGTATTTTTTTTTTATAATTAAAATACAGTGAAACTTCCGTATTACGAAGTCTCGTGGAGTATAAAAGAAATTCGTATTATAGAAAATTTTGTTATATGGACGTTTCACCATAATTGCAATTTCGGAAATCCAATTGTTATTTTATTTTAATCGATTTAAATAGGTGGCATTAAACTATATGATATTTCTAGTCGTTTAAACTTTTTGGAAAAACTTATGATATTTGAATTTGTAATTAAATCGAATAGTTCAACTATTTTTATAACCATTTTATGAAGGTAAATTTGCGAAATGGTCATTTTTGCAAAACGATATGAATAAATGTATTACAAAATAAAACAACATTTGAGTACTATACGTTTGATCACAACGTTATTATCATTAGTTTCAACGATATTAATTTAATTGTACATTTAAAGTGTATTTGATTAAGTGGTCGGTGGCTACAGCTTAACAAGATTACGAACGGTGAACTCACTTGTAACCGATTATTATTATAATTTCTATGTAAATTATGCAAAAACGTTGTTATAGAGTCTTTGTTTTCTGACGATGCCGTTCAGAAAGAGTTAGAAAAATTACAGAAAAAAAAATCCGAGAAATTGTTGTCAGCAAAATGTGCGTTCGATATGGACGTTTGATAAGCGAACGTAGAAATATTAAAAATGAATCGTGATTATATAGGACGAGGGTATACTTTAGTTGGCTCACTGGGGTGTATACAAACGTCTGTAGGTATAAGGGCTTAAATACGACCCTGGAACTGAGTAGAGTTCACCGTTTTAATATAATATAACGCCGACACGCGTACCTATATGAATACCATACATTGGCCCCGAAATAGTCACAGGCTCCCTTTATGTATTATATTGTTATGATATTGTTTATACGCTCTGATTAAGACTGGACGCTGGAGACGCATTGTGTTTATTTTAATTAAACCTCTCTATCGGCGTGTACCAACTGTATATATACCTACTTCTCCATACACCATCGTCGGCGAGTAATCAAAATAATAATAATTATAATAATAATAATAATAATAACAATAATAATAATAATAATAATAATAATAATAATAGTGATAATATGCTCACGTCAATAACATTTTACATAATGTTATAGACACAATATACGCAGACCATCATCGTTGTATCTCAACGAGTACGACATGAAATATAATATAATTCTCCATCTACTGCATATTATGGATATCGTAGAAATAACTTTGAAGAGCATCCAGGCATATCCGGCCGTCTGTCAATAACTGTTAGAGCTAAACGGTCTAATTTAATTGATTCCGGTGGCTACAATGGCGGAGTTAGGGAAATCGGCAGCGGGTCTTTTGTGTGAAAAAAACGTGAATAAAATATATGATTCGTTTGAATGTTAAACTTAATATTTTTCCTATGATACTTTTTATTAGGTAGCAGTAATAATAAAAAGTTTAAAAAAATGAAAACATTTTAAACACATTTAAAATAATTTATCGGTTTAAAATTCGTTAAATTGAAAGGGATGTATCGATTTTAATGGTTTGGTGCATACGGGTATCAACAAATTATAATAAAGATAACGTTTTTTTGATTTCCAAACTAATCAACCACTCAAAAATGATGTCCTTAATTTCATAATTATGAATATTATTAACTATTATTATTAAAGTTGTAAATTTAATGGAAAGTGAATTCTTGATAGCTTATTTTAAAATATAGCTTTTTTAACATAACG